GGGGATCGGCGGGTCGTTCAACAGCCGCACGGGGAGGGCCGGCCTGGGCCCATCGGGCGGGGGAATGTCTTTCGGGATGATGGGCAGCCACATGAACCCGCCGAGCTTCAGCGGCAGCAGCTTCAGCGGCAGCACTCATTCGTCCATGAGCGGGGGGCTCGGCGGAGGAGGAGGAGGAGGAGGAGGAGGGTCCCAGATGGGAGACCCTCGGCTGCACATGGCAGCCCAGCAGATGGGAATGAGCAACAACGGCCGCAGCGGCGGCGGCCCGGGGGGCCCGCCGATGGGGCCGATGCCCCCTCACTTCGATCCCCCCCAAGGGCCGCCGGTGAACCCGTCCACGGGGCTCCCGATCGGGATGACGCAGAATGGCCCTCCCATCGTGCTGCCGGCGGGAATGGTTCCGCGAGGCGGCGGGCCGGTCGTGAACCCGCCGATTCCCCCCCCGTCCATGCCGGGCCCGTCCATGCCGGGCCCGTCCATGCTGGGCCCATGGGGATCAACACCGCAGCAGCAGCAGCAGCAGCAGCCCGGCGGCGGCTGGGGAGGCGGCGGCGGGCTGAGCACGTCCCGGTCGTTCACCTCCAGGTTCGGCATGAAGCAGGGCGCGGCCGGGCGGCAGCAGGGCTTCCGCCGGGCCAGCAGCTTCGGTGACTGGATGGGCCCGAGCGGGGTAGGGCAGCCGCTGTCTCCGACGATGGAGATGGACAGCTTCGAGACGCAGTCCACTAGGAGCGCGCCGCCGTTCGGGGCGACGGCGGCAGTGGGCGACGCGACGGCGGCAGCGGAAGGTGTGGTGTGTCTGTGTGACTAGACAGGGGCGCGCGGGCTTGTGGCCCCTTTTTTTTATTTCCTCTCGTGCGCGTGATCGTTTTTTCTTGTTATTTTTTTTGCTTTACAGCAGTATTTGAGGCTGCGGTAGGTACATTGGCGTTGGCTGTAGCGAAGGAACACCGTAAAGGCGCGTGCGTGATCGGTAGGTTTCGAAACGTGTCGGAACTCGCACAGCACGCGTTCACGTACACCACACACCACCATCCACTCACGCCTTGCCCCCGTTTCTTGCGTCCCACAATCCATGAAAAAAACAAACCCGCCGCCGACCATCTCTCCCAACAGCTGCGACTGCTGCAGCGGCGAAAGTGGCGGCAGGCGGCCACGTCACCGGCACCGAGGAGACTAAGTCGTCCACGAAGGACAAGAAGGGCGATGAGGGAGCAGACAAGGCCACCGGCGCCAAGGCCGCCGCTGCTGCCGCCGTTGCCGCCGCCGCCGGGGCCGCCGCTACCGCAAGTAAATCCGCGGAGCCCCCCGCCGCCGTTCCCCCGGCCCCGGTCCCCGGCGCCATCACCATCCAGACGATCCATACCAAGAAGGACGCTCCCCCGGCCGCGGCCCCGGCCGCGGCCCCCGCCCCCGCCCCCGCCCCCGCCGCGGAGAGCAAGAAATCGGCGCCGGCCGCTAACGCCGCCGCCGCCGCTGCGGCGGCGGCTATCCCGCTGTCGGACTTGTTCAAGAGGGGTGACGACGGCGGGCTGTCGCGTTACGACACGAGCGGCGAGACGCCGGCGCGGACCAGGGGCAAGCCGGCGTCCACCTGGAAGCGGATGATGAGCCTCGGCGGTGGCGGCAGCAGTTACCGGTACGACGGCGGGGACGCTGGGGTCAGCGGCGAGGGCAAGTCTTCCGCCGAGGAGGTGTCCGAGAGCGACAGGTGTGTGCGCGCGTGTGCCGTGGGTCTGTGTGTGTGGTTTTTGTTTAGCATCGACCGCGCCAACGAGCCGACAGACCAATGAACAGACGTAAGTGAAGCGTGTGTGTGTGTGTACTTAATTTTTAGCATCGCCCGCGCGCTAAAACCTTCTGACCGATGGAAAAGAAAAGAGATGTCAAGTCAAGAGCGGGTTTACAAACGGCTGACCATGGACAGAAGACAGTCTCAAGTGCGGCCGAAACAGAAAGCCCTTGCTTCTATGTATAGGCCATGCTCAGGGTAAATTTAACGAAGAAGTTATTTCGTGCTCAGGAATCGTGGAATACCCTCCGCATCGATACCTCGATCGATCCATCCCCCTGTATTACACTCGTACCCATTGCCCTGTTCCTGCCCACGTCTGAACTCTTCTCTCTCTCTCTCTCTCTCTCTGCCCCGCCCCCCCCTCAGGCCCAAGGCCTCCGCCTCAAGCCTCAAGAAGTCGAGCTGGTCTTTGAAGCGCTCCAAGTCGAGCGTCAGCAACGCCTCCCCGCCCCGCGCGTCTATCTCTTCCTCCTCCGCGTCGACGAGGCAGCCCCGGACGCCGTCGATGGCGGAGCGCAAGTCCGAGCGCAGGGCGGCCTCGGCGGAGCGCAGCAGGACGTCGTCCTCCACTGGCCGGATGGCCCGCACCCCGTCGACGGTCGGCCGCCCGGGCCGCTCCAGCAGGGCGTCGGCCGGCGGCGGCGGCGGCTCGAAGGGATCGAAGGCCGCTCTGTCCCCCATGGAGGACGTCGACATGGACGACGACTTCAAGCGCGCGCCGCCGCTCTCCCGCGACGAGACCAGCCTCGGACGGACCACCAGGATAAAGACGACCAAAAAGCCCTCCAGGGGCTCGCCCACGGCGGCGGCAAAGGAGGCGGTCGCCGCCGCCGCTGCCACCGCGAAGGGGGCCCCGGCTTCGGTGCCGGCAGCGCGGGCGCCGGGGGCAGCGGCGGCGGCGACTGCCGCCGCCGCCGCCGCCGCCGCCACCAATCGCGAGAACATTAGGAAAGCGGGGGCGAAATCTACCGCCGCCGCCGCCCCCGCTCCCGCCACCGTCCCCGCTTCCGCGGGCGGCGCGTCTTCGTCCCGGGCCGCCGGCCGTGTGCGACTGGGGAGCGGTGGTGATGCCACCGAGGCCCGGGTGGAAGCGCCTTCCGCTACAGTCTTGGCCGCGAGCGACACGACGGACCGCTCTACTGCATCCGCCGCCGTGGCCGCCCCGGCCCCGGCGCCGGCGGCGAAGCCGAAGCCGAAGCCGAAGCCGAAGGCCAAGATGTCACGCGTCCCGAGCATCATTGGCCCTGTCGCCGCGGGTCTCGGCATCAAGTTTGGCCGTAGCAGTGGCGGTGGCCCTCCAGGTGTTCCGGCCACTCCTGCTCCCCCTGCTGCTGCTGGTGCTCGTGCTGCGGCTCCTGCGGCTGCTGCGGCTGCTCCTGCTGCAGCTCCTGCGGCTGCTCCTGCTGCAGCTCCTGCGGCTGCTCCTGTTGCTACTTCTACTGTTTCTCGTGCAACTACTGCGGCTCCTGCTTCTGCTGCGGCGCCAGCTACGACTGCAGCGCCCGCTACTGCTGCGGCACCTGCTACTGCGGCTCCTCCTGCTTCTGCGGCTTCGCCTGCTTCTGCTGCGGCTGCGGCTACTAAGGCCACTCCTGCCTCGGCTGCGGCTACCACTGCTGAGGCTACTCCTGCTGCTGCTGCTCCGGCTCCTGCTACTGCTGGTACTGCAGCCACTGCTGCTGCTGCTGTTAAAGCTAGCAGCTCACCGGCCGGTAGCTCCACCACCAAAGCCAGCGGCCCACAGGCCAGTAGCTCCGCCACCACAGCTGCTGCGGACCCACAGGCCAGTAGCTCCGCCACCACTGCTGCTGCGGTGGCGGCCAGTGCTGCTGCCGACAAGGCCGCGGCGAAATACGCCGCAGAACGGAAGGCGTCTGCGGAAGCGGCAAAGAGGGTGGACGGCTCCACCGGGATCATGAAGAATCCCACCCTCGAAGAGATCATGATGCGCAGCAGCGAGGCCGGCGACGGAGGCAAGAGCAGCGGCGGTGGCAGCACCAACTACATGGCTGTCCCTGCGGTGGTGCGCACTGTCGCAGGGACCAGCGCTCCCGCCGCGAAGGCTAAGAACGACGGCACCCAGGACTCTGCTGCCCTCACCACCGCCGAGGTCTCTCGGCGGACCGACGCTGGCACCACCGCCGGAAGCAGTGGCGGCAGCGTCGTCGCCGACACCCCGAGCAGCGCCGCCAGCACCCGCGCCATGGTCGGAGACCCCACCCCCGTAGACCCCACCCCCGTCATCCCGGCGGTCGAGCCGCCGTCCGAGAGCCCCGCCGGGGGCTGCGAGTACATCACGCCTGCCTACTTCGCCGCCTTCAGCGCCGCCACCACCCCAACGCCGGCCGGCGGTGCCGGCGCCAACCCGGCCGCCACCTCGTCCGCCGCCGCCTCATCGGCCGGAGCGGCTGCCGCCCTCACGCCGAGGACGGTAGCGGNCCGGCCGGCGGTGCCGGCGCCAACCCGGCCGCCACCTCGTCCGCCGCCGCCTCATCGGCCGGAGCGGCTGCCGCCCTCACGCCGAGGACGGCAGCGGCGTCGGCGGCAACCGCGGCCGCCGAAGCCAGCAGCGTCGCGGTGGCGGCGGCGGCGGCGGCGTCCGCGGCGGCGGCGTTGGCAGCGGAGCAAGACGCGCAGCAGGGCGGCGTCGACGGGGTCGGCGCCGGCGGCGGTGCCAGCGACAGAGCCGTAGTTGTTGGGGCACCCCCGACAACCGCTATCACCGCCTCCGGCGCCGTGATGCCCGTTCCGAGTCCGGACACGCCCGGAAGCACGGGGAGCGGGCCGCAGGTCGCGGCCCAGGCCAAGGTGTTCCAGCGGCTGTGCGACTCTAGCGGAAGCGAGACCGAGACCGGCGACGCCGGAGGAGGAGCGGCGGTGGGTTCCTTCGGCGAGGAATCTACGCTGTCTTTCAACCAGCTCATGGGGTGGGACGAGGTCCAGGAGCTGTTGGAGTACGGCGCGTTGAAGGAGGAAGAGCTCACTGCCCTGTGGCAGGTGTGCGTGTGTGTGCTGCTGTGTTGGGATGTGCGTTTGTGTGCTGCTGTTGTTGGGTTCAAGGGAAGGGTACAGAAAAAGGCCGCGTATATACATAACAGCAAACAAGACACGTCGCTTGTCCTTTTGCCATCATCTGTCCATTGTCGGTCCTTGTGGTGATGCATGCGCGTGCGGGCCCTCACCACAGCAGCATCCCCTATCGTGGAAAGAGTCAATAACGCGCACAGCTACAGTGCCGCCGCCTTTCCTCCTCACTAATGCCCCCCTCCCCTCCCTCTTCTCCGTTCTCCCGATGTCACCTACGATCCCTCCTCCCGCAGGACGCCGCTCGCGCTCAGGACGCCGAGCTGGGGACGGGCGGCGACCCTCGTGCGCGGGCGACGGACATCTGGGGCAGCGGAAGCCCCGGCGCCGCTAATGCTGGTGCCGCTGCCCCTGGCAGCCAGGAGGGCGGCAGCAGCGGAAGCACTAGGGACGTGCTCACCGTCAAAGGGTTCATGATCCTCGTGAAGCTTATCGAGGAGCTCCAGTTCGAGAAGGAGCTGGAGCAGGACAAGGGTGTCGGGCTGGCCCCGGGGCCCGTTTGCGTTGTTTAAAGCTACCTACCTACCGGCCCCCGCCGTGCGCGCGATTCTTGGGTAGTCCCCTCCCCCAATCTCATGTGTGTGAGTACGAGCCGATTGAAATGGCACGATGGCGGTAGTGGTTGTGCCTGCTTTGGTCGAGATATGTGCAGTTCAGCCCCGTTTCGATGGATGGCACTTGAGCGTTGCTTGCGTCCTTGCGATCCCTTTGGAGTGGCTTGCTTTTCGTGTGGCATGGATCCAGCTGACGAGGGGGGGGGGGGGGGGGGGNGGGGGGGGGGCTTATTGGGGGGGCGGAGGAGGGTAATGAACGTAGTTGAGGCTTGGCTGGGATGTGAGTTTTTTCGTGTGTTCTTAACAACCGGCTTGCTTGGTGGGGTGGTGGCCCGAGCCCGCCGCACTGCCGTCGTGTACCACACGGCCCTTTGTCCAGAGTGGCGGCGGCGGCGGCGGTGGTGAATAGGTGGTAGTGTCACGCTCGCACGGTAAGTAGTCTTGGGTGGTTTTTGCAGGAGGGCCGGGAGAGAGCCACCCCACCCCGCCAGAGAGACAGAACGTTATAGACTTTTTGTGGCACGCGTGCGCCGCGGGGGTGGGTGTGCGTAGGGGGGGGGCGCACAACCGTTGATTCTGCGTGTTTTCGATAATCTTAGCACCGACCCTCTTGAGTGTGGTTAATGTGGTGCGTTTTGTGATCGGCAGCGGCTGGGCTCTCGTGGTTTTCGTTCATGACAGTTGAGCGACGCCAAAGAACGAGATCTGTTCACCGAGTTTTTTTTTTTTTCTGTGTCGCTTGGCCTTAGTCTTAGCCTGTGCCTGTATATATCAATCTGGATCTGAAAAGTTGTGTCGTGCGTGTTATTTTATTGGTCTGGATTTACAATCTGAAGGGTGTGTTTCTGTCCCCGTGTGTTCTTGTTTTCGCATCCGGCATGAATCTGACTCCGTACGGCTTTCCCGGGTGTGATGGCGTTGTCCACAAGGAAAATTGGGCGGTTGTTCATTTACTAAAAACCAAAAATAATTCTTGGCTTTATATAAGCTGCGAAGACGAGAGGGGGGGGGGGGGGGTACTACGTGTATTTGTGTTTCTGCAGAAGTTTGCGGCATACCCTCTCTCTACCCTCTCTAATGTTGGTTGTTCTTCTGTGCCCTGTGCTCGCCTCGCCCGTACCCTGTAGCGGACACGTTTTGATTCGGTTGATGGTGCAATATTGCCCACGCTATTTTAGAACAATGATCAGCCTCCCGGCTCTCAACACGCACTTCAGAAGTTAAGTGATGCTGCTACGTAGAGTGGGGGTTGACGGGAAGCGTGTGTGTGCGTGTTTTGTTTTTGTTCTTTCGTCGTTCCCAAACGTGTTGAGCTCTCTATTCTCGTTATTTTAGAATATATCCAATAGCAGCATGGAAACGCGACGCAAGGCCGACATCTCTCTCTCTCTCACACTCAAGTCAGCAGGGGATGGATTTGTGTTGGGAGACCGGGTAGTGGTGGGTGGCAACTACCAGAGACGGTAGGCAAGATAGTTGACCTTCCTGGTTCCGTTTTTTTTTTTTTTTTTGCACGGGAGAAGGAATCATCTACTAAATCTACTAAGCGGGGGCGGGGGGGGGGCGGGGGGCGGCAGTTAGAAGAACAACGAGGTTGTTTTCTTGCCGCTCAGTGCTACAGTAGAACACGGTTGTTTTTTACCGCTCAGTGCTTTACAGCGTGGGTTGATGGGGAGGGCGGAGAGCTAGCTCCCTTTTGGTTTGCACCCGCCACGAAAGATGACACCGTTTTTGCCTACAGTAGTATGAAGGAGAAAACAGCCGGTCGGCGGTGTTCCTGTGCGGTGCGTGACGACGATGCTAGACGGCATCACAGTGTACACGTTCACCCTACAACCCGCACATACCTTGGTTCTACAACCCGTGGCGGGAGTGTTGATATCATAACATAAGACACGGCGAGAAGCGGCAAGCACCGTTCATTATGAACTACGTACATTAACATACATACGACCACTTAGATTGAACGAAAGTAGTCTCGACTACATGACGCGTTTTTTAATTTTTATGTTTTGCGTACGTACGTATTCGATTACAATTTCTTCAGCAGCTCAACGTCAGTCGCGCGATGTATTACTTGCATGTTATTTGTCGTATGGGACGCTCGCGGACGATGATGACGGAAAGGGGGCGATTTCAGGGATTTATCTGTCACACCTGTCGTAGCTCTCGGGGTTGCAAGGAGACCTGATGGTGGTTGTGCGTGTGAAGGCAAGGAAGGGCGATACAGTGGCGGCTGGGATGATGAGTGGCTGTTTTCGCCTGACGACGTGGTATGGTGAACAATGAACAGGGTTTTGATCAGAAAGCAAGGACGGTTACGACTTGACCAATGTTGTACACAGTCAGTCTACTTGGTGCTTCCCCCCCCCGAAAAAGATATCGAGCAAGCGGCTCGGCTGGGTAGGATCCTGGTGATGCCGGCCGATGACTTAATGATGGACAAAACCTGTCGTTGGTAATGTGTTCCAGGCACTCGAAGACGCCCTCTTTTTGTCACCGAGGCCCGCGCATACGTTGTATGTGGAGTGTCATGCATGTGGTTGTCTCTTTAGCATCGACCGCGCTACAGCTAACCGGCTGTCTCACGAAAAGACGTCAGTCTCAGTATACCGTACCGATATAGTCTTACGCATGTAGTCTATGTGTGTGCAAGAAACAAATATTTTTTTGTCGGGCCGCCTCGCTGGCTCGCTCGACTCGTGCTCTTGTACCGCACTGCAAGCACAACAAATGGAAAACAAGAGAACCTTCTCATGATGAGTGAATGTTGGAGACCGTGACCTCACGATATGCATGCGTTCGTATCACGGCTACACTCTGTGACTCATCTTGTAAAACTTCTCTTGCTGCATGTAGCTTTTCGCTTTGGGCGCGCTCGGCAACGACAGGAAGAGATCATCATTGATTGATTGGCCTTCTCCTCGTCCCCATCCATGATAAAAACGTCAACTCACTCACTTGCATGCAGACCTTGCTCGCCAAGCATTCAATTAAGGTAAGACTGACTGACGTCTTGCCATTGGTCGACCGGCCAGCGCGGTCGATGCTGGCGCAGGCAGACTACAAGACGTCTTCGTCCGAAACCTACAGTAGTAGTGTCACACGCTACACGGACGGCCAGAAGCATGCCAGCTTTCAACCTACGGCAATACAGTAGTTGACCCATAGTCTAAAGATAGCACGCACAATTTGCACGAACCCGTTTCGCCCCCGTTTCACTCGTTGGACTACCTTAGTACACACTGGTACACACGTGCTGCACAACCTAACGCCTACAACATTACCAGGCTGACCTATTTACGAACCGAGGTGTTGTAGCTCAAAAAGATGCGCGTGGCAGACGCCGCAATGAAGACAATACAAATACATATATATATATATATACAAGTATGCGAATTGAAGGGACTATCTAGCAGAACAATCTGTACCTGCAGATCAGATCACTGTAACCTCCTTAAATATATCATATAACAACGTCGTGAGCCCTTCGATTCCCCCCCCCCCTGGTCTACTCCCCTCTCCCTCCGGCGATGTTTGCCGTCGGGGTTGGGTTTTCGTCGCTTGGCAGCGATGTTGTAAAACAAGCCGATCTTCGTGAAGTCGGCAACCAGGTTACCGCTTTTTTTTTTGCCTTTTTTTTTTGCGGTAACCATGAACGGTGGTCGAGTAGATTATGTCGTGCGAGGTCGAGAACCCTCACTCCGCGCAAAGGGGATAATCGCACGTTGTGTTGAAATGGTCAAGCACCCTCGAGGCAGTTACACAGCGCTTACAACTGTCTCTGGAAGTGAAAGCACCAGAAAATAAATTAAACATACAAATCATCCGTACGCAAGGAAGTAAGCACAAGATGCCGAACACCCTTAGCAGGATGCAGCGCACCCTTCATGCGACTCGCCGAATATCTCACGGCGCTTTGCGTGGTGATGTGAGAGCCTGGTCCGGTGAGAACCCGGGGTGCTCCTTCCCGGCTTTGTGGGGATGCGAGGTCAATGGTCTAACGACTACGGCATGGTCGATTATGAGTACACCCCCCCCTGGTCTACGCCATTTTGGTACTGCATCAACTAGCCCTACTTTTAATGATCCTTGAATACTGCATCAACATGAAATATTGAGATTTCTCTCCTAGAAATCCTCCCTCCCCCCCACAGGGGATGATCGCACCACGTTGTGTCAAAATGGTCAAGCACCCTCGAGGCGGTTACACAGTGCTTGTAACTGTCTCTGGAAGTGAAAGCACCAGAAAATAAATTAAGTCACACGCAGCTGTCATCCNACACAGCCCTAAATGTCTTCAGCGTTCAATGGAGGGGGCTGCATTTTCGAGTCGATACGAAACACACGCCAGATCGAAAAGGTCAAACCGGCACAGCCTGCAACAACTGCTCAAGCTACTTCTGTCTGGCGACACGTCTATTCCGGCTGCATCAATCACAACGTCCCACGCGATGGACAACGTCCAACTCCTCCCTCCCTCTTAGGTGTTCTTTCCGGGAGAACTGAAATAATAGTTCTCTGTTGCACGCTGACCTTGACGCTTTCCACAACTAACCCCAGGAAGCGGTTGTCCTCCGAACCAAGATCGTGCACCACGATGTCACGTCTTGTGGCCGCCCTGCCCCCGCTCCGGGCAAGACTGTGAGCCCCCGCGTCTGCAAACATATCCCCTGTCTTCTTCCGCAGCACCTTGATCATCTTGTCCGTGTTTTGGGTCATACGGATGAAGTAGAAGTCGGCACCGGTTTCGTACTGTCGGGTATTTAAAGTATAGGCGATGGCAAACAGTGGGGGGAGGGAAACGGATGGCGGCAGTTGGCACGGGGCTGGCCATGGGGAATAGTGAGCGGAGACGGTGATATCGTTGGGTGCCGTGCTTTGCTAAACACGATTTTCCTGACCTGTCGTTGCTTGCACATGGCTGGAGGTGGATCGGAGTGAGCGGTACCTTATGGCTTGAGACAATCAACGCTGCAAGGTTGCATGCAGACACCGACTGGTGATGTTGATAGACCTGCAACCAGGTGTGTACACGCTCGTACCAACGAAGCGGTGCTCACTACAAGCGGCGCGTTCAAGGGTGAAAGGACTAGGCTAGTGTCTATCCAGGCGGCTGCTTGTGCGCAGATACTTTCTATACTGCGGTAGGATCCTCCACCCCTGCGCACCGCCCCACATGTACACACCTGCAGTTCGTAGAGCAGCTTGGATGGGTCGTTTCCGTTCGGACAGCCGTTCGGGTATCTGTCCCAGACCCCGGTGTGGTACGCGTTGCCGTGACACGGCGCGTCGGCGAGGAGGATGCAAAGGTGGATGTTGCCCTTTCACTTCAGCTCCGTCGCGAGCTTCAGTCCTCCGGCAACATCCTCATGGAAGTCTTGGCCTGGATGATGTGGTACATGATGGAACGGGTCAGAGCCAGAGAAACTACCGCCATCCAAGAGAGATGCTTGAAGAGAAAGGCGCGGGGCGGGTACAGTTGAAGAATGGGGAGGCGCAAGGAGCCGGGAGAGGAGTATTGCAGCGGCGGGGGTGAAGGCGATTGCGTGCACTGCCATACAAGACCTTGGACAGTGGCACTACTCAAGACGAGGGCTCGCTGTTGTGTTCCTGACATCCTCAAGTCAGCAACCGTGGCAACCGCCACGGACAAGCTAGATATATATCAAGGAGGAAAACGATGTGACTAGAATGAAAGTACAAACGTAGCACGAAGTGTACATTAATAGCGAAGGCATGTACACACCTCCGTAGGCCTCAATTTTGTTGAGCGCGGCGAGAAGCTTGGGAAGCTTTTCTTTTTTATGGAAGTCGAACGACTCGTACTGCACTTTGTCTCCGAAGTCGCGATACTTGCGGCGAGGAGGGGCGAGGTTTTTGAAGATCACCGGGGATGTGACGCACAACCTGATACTACGGGAACGTGGTACGGAAAGTTGTCATCGTCTTGTATCGGTTTGCTCACGGTTTCTCACCCATGTTTTGCGACGGACAATGTCATACGTATGTCCCGTAGATATCCGCTCGATCAATGCACGTGTATGTTCCGATACATCACCTCCATGCCACAATTTCCACCACTTTGTTGCAGAGGTAGGTGATACAGGGCTGACTAAGGCCATGATACACAGAGGGAGAGAGGGGGGGGGGGGGGGACCGATCGAAAACCTCTCGGGATTGGCAAACACAACGTCGCGATGGCAGTAAAAACACTCTCGAGGCAATTGGGGCAATGTTGATCGGCCAGCGTTGCTACGGTGCTGTTTGATTTGGTCTTGACAACGTACCCAACGAAGGCAACCCGCAGGCTAGTATTCTTGACGTCGTTTTTGCCTGGTCGATGATGTCCAGCAACTGCTGTGGAAGCACGACCGCCACGGTGGGCGCTCCGGTGCAGCGGTGAAGCATCATTCGGTTGCTGGTTGGTGGCTGCGCAATGCATCTCGGCGTCGTTGATGGCGAGCTCGTGGTTTGTGACGGCGTCGGCAAAATTGTCCTGTGCCGCTTCCATGAGGGCCTTGCCTTGGTCTGGATTCTCCGCGTCCTTTGCCTTGGCCACGAACTGTCCGGCCTGCAGCGCGTACACATTGCCGAGGTTGTTGTTTACGATGCTGACACCGCGGTCGTTCCCCAGCTTCGTGAAGGGGGCCAGGGCTCTCCCACGTAGATGCGCTGCGCCTCGTCGGTATTCCCTGTGGCCAGGGTCGTGTTGGCGAACTTTAAGATCGTATTCATTTGCTCGAAGGCATCCATCAGCTCCTCGACCTCGGGGGAGGAGATGTCGTTGACCATCCAAGTCTCTGGCGCCTGCGCCACGCATGCGCACGCACACACGCGCGAAAGAAAGGGTTGCGAGATTATCGACACCGCCATCGAATGGTTGATGTGGACATCCTGCTTGGGCAGCAGCGCCTGTACACGTCGGGAGGATGATGTGGGCACATGCTTTGTGATATCATCCTCCATCCCTCGGATCGCGGAACCCCACTCCGCCGCGCGTATTGCAGAGTGAACGCAGCTCACTGGTTGGTCTTATGGTAGGAGTGTTTGTATGCACAACGAAACGTTTGGCGCAGATAATACAACGGGGCCTCTCGGCCGACCGCCACGGGGGTTCTCTGGACAATACCGCGTGCCTGCTCGAGGTGGAAGCCTTGAGGTCGAGTCTCGCAGCGAATCGTGACTCTCGTAGTGCGCTAGTCCCTCAACTGGTACCACCGTGAACCCTGCTTGTTGGTGAGTACGCGTGGGAGCAACACTTTCTGGAACCCTTGCGTGATTCATGTGGCATGCACCCAATACCATGTTTATAACTCCGGATCAGAGCCCTTCAGCAGAGGAGACGACCGCAGGGTACGTACAAATCGCGAATGAATCTCCACAACCGAGGTCTAGGAATATCGGGACAAAGCGCGCCGGACGGCGCCAACCGGCCACAGGGCACAGCCGCGGAGCACCTGGCCGAGATAGAGGGAGGAGTTATTTCATTTTACCTGCCGCGAGAAACCCATCCTGTTGAGTGTACACGGCACCGATGGGTTGGTTGATCGGACCCACGATCCCGCCAGCCACGAATCGAGCAGTGACAACCATGATGCAGGCGATTGCGACCAGCACCAGGGCCATGATGAGGCTCGCGAAGAGAACCACCCGGGAAATCTGTGATTTCGTCTCGGAGAAGGCCTAGATCACGTACGTGCCGGTACGCCACGCGAAAGAGAAAGTAGCGGAAGGAAGGTAACGGAAGGGAAGGAAAAACATGGGTTCAACAGGTAGAGCCACGGCCAGCAAAACTATTCTGAATCAAGACAGGCGCGCTCTTCCATCGCGCAACTGTTCCTCGCGGGCTCCAGAGACACTGCATCTCGATCTAGGCTGATACCACGAAATACCCCGAAACTAAACATTTAGCACATGTGGTATCCGAAACACGACCCTACCGGCGTTCGCAGCCCACCCTCCTCGTCCGCTCTCCCACACATCTATTCCCCCCCTGAACCACCGTACCTCCGACAGAACCGACTCGCTGACCGTCACAACGGCGATGAAGCCACCGTCACCGCCGTTGTCCCTGGCAGTAGACGCGCCGGCGCCGCTCACGGTCTCGTGCTTCCAGGCCAGGATCCACGTAATCCCGTCCCTCGAGTACTCAGCGGAGCCCGAGCAGGCGACGGAGATCTCGGTGACAAGACCAAGAAACTTTTGATTTCTCCTCCCCGTTTTCGTCAACGCCGTCTCCGAACTCCAAGTCCAGGATAGAGTTCACGCCGCCGTAGTCCGACAAGTCCCTGTAAACGGCCACCTGCCCGTCCCCGCCCGGGGCCAGCAGGTAGGCATAACCGTCGTCGTCGGTGACCGTGAGGTCCTTGATGGAGCCCTCGATGTCTCCGGCGTCAACGTCCAACCCAACCACTGCCGCCACGGTGCCGGCCAAGTTGAAGACCGGCGCGGCGGCAGACATAGCGAGCTTCTCCGAGTCGGCGTCTACGTAAGGGTTGGTGAAGATGACCCCGGTGTTGCCGGTCTCGGTGGCGTCTTGGTACCACAGTCTGCATCGCGGCTCGAACCGGTCCCCGATGTAGGTTGTTTCATCCCAGCTGTCGCATACCTGGTTGGCGTTTGAAGAATTGTTTTTTAGTTTTCGAACCGTTCGTGCCGACGTACGAGGAAACGAGAGGCACGTGTCAGGTTTGCCACTGACAATCATGTTGTAAGCATTGGCATCACATATGTCCAGGGTGTTCGCGTGAACAGCCGTTGGGTGTTTCAAGATGAGCCTTCCAACACGACCTCATACGAAGGGACACCACCGATAGGTGTGGTATTATTGATCATTTCACTTTCCCTGTATGCTTACCCCATCCGCGCCCCATTCAAGGTAACCAGTCATGTCGAACCCGGCGTAAGCCTGGAACTTGATACCCTAGATCGTGCCAGCGGCGGGGGATGGATTGTCCAAGGCTGCGAGGTACACAAGGGGGTGCTGCCGCTGCATTCCTCGAAAGGGAACGTCCATGAGCGACGAGCGGATGAGCAGGCTTTCCAGGGACCCGCGGGCCTCGGGCACCACACCCTTAGGAAGCTCGGGGATGAACCTGGACGAGCAATCGGCGGCGGCATCTTTGTTTCTCACTTCAAATGTTTGTGGTTGTTCCCCTTGTTTGAGCCATGTCTACTTACCTCTGCATACACTTGCACACCCACATATCATTTCGGAATCGCCTCGAAAACAGTTCAACAAACATCATTGAGTACTTCGGGTAATCGATGCGCACGCTACTGGTACAAGTCGGGACCAGACAATCATTGGGGAGGGGACGGGTCGCCCTGTTGAAGTTGCCAGAGTCGAGAGGCACAAGAGAACCCGCACGAGATGTACGCGATGATGTTCTAGGTGTTGAACTCTGTCGAACACATGCACAGCCAGCTAAGGACATTGATTAGCGACCGTCACGTGTTTTACCCTGGGCGTGTTGAGACTTTACATGTCAGGACAAATACCTCGGCTGAGAGAGTATACTGAAGGGAGCGTAGTCCTCCACACCTTGGATGCAACTTTGCCTTCTCAAAAAGCGAGCGCCGCAAGTCTCTGGGTTGAGGGTTCGGACTTTGCTTCTTGCCAAACGCTATGGTCGAAGGTAGCGTCTGATTGAAGAAGTCCCGAATAGCTGGTCAAGTACGAGTCGACCGTCATCGTCTCTGGAATGGCCAAAATAGCCTGCCCCGCAAACGCTTGCAGCTGCAAAGTGCTCTCCTCGACCCTTCCGAAGTGCTCAGACACAAACTCGGCTTTCGCTGCCACAAGCTTGAGTAGATTCGCCTGGTGTCCCATGAGCGAGGAGAGAGAGAGAAAGGAGAGAAGAAGGGAAGAGAGGTAGGGAGAGAGAGAGACAGGCAGGCAAATTCAGCACATACATCTCGGTGAGACATTTACAACCATTTTAGCCTAGTCTAGACGCCCTCTATGCTGCTCGCATGACTGTTGTGTCAAAATCGATCGCCGACTGCCGGAGAACACGCCAACCAGTGACACCACGCAGAGTCGACAATTGGTACCTCCTCGAGCTGAATCATCGCCTCTCGTGTGTCGGCCCCCCAATAATCAACAGCCGTCAGGGTCAAAGCAACCTGAATGGCAAGGCTGAGCAACGTGCCCGCCGCGACCGAAGAGAACACGGAAAATAGGGAGGGAGCAGCGGAGGGGGGGAGAAGTTAGACCGCATGATGTTTCCACGGTAAAATCACTGGATTGCGGGAGAGGTGGGTAGATTGATGTTCGAAGCGTTTCCCACTAACCCGTTCAAACGCCCATGTCCACCTGCTTGCCCAGTCTACCTGACCACGTGAGCACAGTGTGGGAACAAGGCGTGTCCGTGCGAGGTTGGTTATTCTTCGAACAACTGACCCCAGACTACAACAGGTTGTTGAACTGTTGTATCTCAGTGTGCGCGGAGGAGCATACACGGTATTCTGGAAGGATGGGAGGATCAACAAGGTTAAGAGCGACGGGGTTATCGTCATGGCCGATTTAACAGCAAGGAGGATGGAAAATTCTCCGCGTTCCAATGGACAGCAGTACTGGAAAGGCGTCCTTTGCGCTGGCATCAGAAGAAAAGAAGGAAGGCGCTCCGCTTCGGGCAAACGATGCGGTGGTAGGGTACGCGCACAGTTCGGTAGTGCCCCCGGGTTGTGTCATTGTTGCTTTTCAGGACGTTCACAGGGACGTGTTCTTGAAGGGTGGAAGGCTGTGCATTAAGGTGGGGGGCGGGAGTGGGGTACAAGGTGAAGAGCGGGGGAGTGAGGGTACGATGCACCCTCGCACACGGGTACATTAGTAAAGGGGAGAGGAGGCGAGCGGGACAATAAGGTGTAGGACGGCAGGTTAGCAAGTGTACGGTGTGACAGCTTGTCTGCGGTAGTTTCTACGTGGGGGCGAGTGCCGCGAGGGACTCGGGGAATAATCGTAGCAGCAGTGTAAGCCCGCGTGGAAAAATGGTATGATGAGGTAGATGGTGGAGGTCCACGACACAGAACATATACTCCAGGTTCATGAGCAGAGTGAGCCGAGCAGCTGGGTATGGTCCTTTTACCAGGCCAACGGAGTCAATATTGATTTACCTACCGGTATTTCGTTTATACATGGCCTTCTCAGCCAGGAGGGCGGACAGATTGATTGATTGAACTGATGGTTTTCTTCGTCTTTTTCTGGTACGTATCTCCTCTGCTGTTTTTCCAGAGGAGATGAATCTACTCCATTATATATCTAGAAATACGATAAGTAGGCACGGAGGATCAAAAGCTAGGGAAGCCGTTAGACACGCAGAAAACAACTAACCTTTACAACTATGTACACACCTGTGGGAGCAACCATGAGAATGGTGGCGAGCGAACACGAACGACGGCAAAGGTGCTTCGTGCGCCCATGAGCCGCAATCAATTTTCAATGATATACCAAAGGTGGCATTACTGCCGGCCTCGAGATAGCCGCCGTCTCTACCGTTGTAGCCGCTGTAGCTTCTGGCTGCCGCCGTTGTTCGCGCCGTCAGGAATTCTGGCTTAGAATCCAATGTACCAACCTACGAAGTGCTTGGCGATGGCATAGACTACGCTCCCACCCCACCACCGTTTACAAGGAGGCTAACCTTGCACACAAGCAAGTACATGACGTAATTTCAGGTTGGATACGAGAGAGGGGATGAGGAGATAGAGTTACTGCTGTCAACAATAGACTAGTGAGTATGTGATTATTGCCGGTTCATAGGTGCTTATATAGCAGTAGATAGGTAGACAGGTTCAATGTGAGGTTCGATGTGTGGGAGCCTTCTTCATCGACAGCGCGTCTACTCTATCTATCTCTCTGACTCACCTATTGAGATCTCGGAACAGGTCAGCTTCTTCGCAAGCCCTGTCGTGCGCTTGGAGTTGCCATCGATGACGGGAGGAGTGGAAGAGCTCCTGCTGGACGCCATGCTCAATTGCTGGCGATGAAGTACGGAGGTCACGGGTCAAGGAAGGGAGTGTTGCGCCATCCACAGCGGGGTCAGCGCATGATATACACACACGCAAGTTCACGTCCTGTGCTTCGGTGGTGATTGATTGCCCTGCTGAAAACGGGTGTGCCGTCAGCTAACACAACAAGCAGTTGGATTCTTCGGGAGCGGTTTTTCTGTGCCGAGAGGGGGGTCCTCTCTTCATCATCCTCACGTCGGTCGAGTTTCAAACCAACAGGTGGTTCCGGACAGAGAATCTTCTAAATTGATGGATATCACGATCAAGATTGGGTTCGTTCTTCCACACTAGTACAATCTCAAGGGCAACAGAGGAGCAGCCCTTCCAAAAAAAGCAGAAAGAACATACCGAGAAAATAAAAAAAAGAACGATGTACGTTGTTCTTGTTGTTGTTGTTGTTGTTTCTCACATTAGCTCTATAGTACACAAAAAATGGGGAGCCCGTGGTCTCAAAACCCGGCACATACGACGCCGCGGGGAAACAAACAAAAAAAAGGGTACAAACCACTCGGAAAAAGAAAACAAAATGATAGGAAGAACAGAACAGGTACCGCACCGACCGTCCGAGAAAAGAGCCCTCGGAAACCGATCAAACTAAAACAAAAACAAAAATAAAGGAGGACGCTTCCCACACCCGCCTAAAGAAAAAACCAAAGGGTAGCGTACCAGCCCCAGGCATTACGCACCAGGGCATGGGAGTAACGGATAAAACAGGACAAAGAGGCGGCAGATGGGCAGGCAGCCAGACGTACAAAAACAAAAGCAACAGCAAAAGCGCGATCAAGGTACCCAACACAGCAGAGTAGGCAGGGAGGTCATGAAAAAAGAAACACAGCACAGAGGCCGAAGGCAATACAAAGGACATATATAAAGGAGTATAGCATACAGCAGGGAGGGAAACAGGGCGCAACACCATCAGCCGGGTACACAGACCGGTTACCCAGGTGGTCTAGTGGGTAGCTTCGCAGCCTGCTAAGGGCCAGGTCATGGGTTCGAGTCCCGGCAGAGTGAGTTTTTTTCTCACCAAACAAATCCTGGTCTAGGATGAAAGCGACGCGCTGCAAAGCTCGTTGTTAGTAAACCATAATCGACTTCGTAAGTCGCGAGGGAAGGGATTGCTGAGGGTACGCCGGTACACTGCTGTGCTGCTCGTCTGCTGGTGCTGTGCGTGTGTATGGCGGTATCGGGTGAATGTCATGCCTATCTTCCCGATTAGCCCGATACCGGTACGCTAGGTACCGGTATTTTCGGGAAGGTATTTACATCGTACCGAACATACCGAGCATCCCCGGTATGGTATGGCAGTCCATACCAGTACCGTACCGAACATGTCGGTATTTGTAACGAACGTACCGAAAACTTCGGAAGGTATTCAAGTCCATACGGAACGTACCGGTATTTTCGGTAAGGTATTGAAGTCCGTACCGAACGTACCGAACACTTCGGTAAGGTATTGAAGTCTATACCGAACGTACCGAACATCTCGGTCCGGTATACCGGAGGTATAATACCGCTGGTACGCCTCGGTATGTACCTTACCAAACACACCCTTGAAAAATACCTCAGGCAGGAACCGCAGGAGGGGGTCCAGCCCCCCCCTCCTATGTGACCCCGGNTCGCCGTTCCTTCCCCCACACCGCCGCTTCCCTGACTCTCTTTCTCTTCGGTCCTGAGATGGCCGTACTCTCTGCTTCTGCTTCCCTCGCGCGCTGGCGCTTCGCGGACGCTTCCGCCTCCTGCCTGTGCCATTTCCTCATGAACCATGCCGCTCCGTCCTCGACCTTGTTGTACCACACCTCCGGGTCCNCATAACGAAGCCCGCGAAACACAGTCTCCGTTTGCGCACGGTGGCCTCGATGGTTTCCTTGCAGCCTGTCTGGATGAGGGCCTGTGCATAGGACAGGGGGCGGTCTGAGCGTTTCCGCTTGCTCCAGCCGATGCATCGTGTGAGGAACTGGCGGTGGGTCCCATTGAGCGTCGTGTAGTGCTCCACTGTTAGGCTCCACGAGGCGCACCCATGTAGGAGAGTCCCCACCACTTCAGCCTGCTGTAGCCGGATCTTGAGCTGGCGGTTGGCCCGCCGCCTGTCGTACATCGAAGCACTGTTCCGGCGGTAGCACTTCCACGCTCGGCAGCTGCGGCTCGTGATCTCCCGG